ACTGAGGTAGCAGTTGATGGGAAACTTCACCCAAACTAAGCAGGCTTCTGGATGCAATACACCTACCCCGACCAACCTTTCACTCTTCGAAGGATCACTAAGCAATGCTGACGACTCCAGTTGCCTTGATTTGCAAGTTTCATCAACTTCTAAGACTGAATTTGATCCACTAAATCAACGACGATGTAAAAATTCTTGAAATAGTGTGGGATACCTGAGCATTTCGTCTTTACTCTGGCAGAGATGCGTGTGGAAACCATGGCTACTGGCAAAGTCGAAAGAAAGTTATTGGAGTGGTTCCTCATGAATGGTGGATTCGCCAGGGGATGCGATTTCGCCAGTGCTCTTTAAAATCGTTCTTGAACTCCTTCTCTGAAATAATGCTGACCTTGGCAGAGACGAAGGTATTATAATATAGGGAAGGCAAGTTCAAAATATCCAGCTAGATATCTTACGGACCTAGACCATGCAGGTAACATTATCCTAAGATTGAGTATTTCATTCGTTCGTTAGTGATCATACTGAAAACTGTATTACCACAACTGTATTAAACGGTTTATTCATATACAACGCAAATTGGTCAATCGAGTGATTAACCAGTAATCACGTTTCAGCTCGTCTCACAGGCCTTCTTTAAGGTAGATAAGAACGAATTACGAGGTTCGTTTTGCGGTCCGCAGCAGTTGTAAAACTCCATACGTTACAACAGCCGCGAACCACAGAAAGAACCTTGGAAGTCTACCCTTTCCACCTTGACGAGGACCCACGAGGCAGGAGAAGAAACGTCGGAACTGGTGAATCACCCGTTTGACCAATTTGTTAGCGCTATGTATGAATAAACCGTGTTTATATGCAGTTTTCAGCATGATACTGTCCTGTAATTAATAAGTGGTGCGGGCTCTACCACCTACTGGCTTCCGTATGTAATACAACCTCTAGCTTAATGCAGGAAAGCCAAAAATTATGACGAATCCATTTGTAAAAGCTGACCAACGGGAAGAAAAATGAGGTGAACCGCTTTAAGTTGACCATTCTAAGTAACTTGGCGGCATCACCTTCACCGACTACACCATTCATTTAGACCGGGGTTGTTCAGTCGGTAGGGCGCTGAACTAAAAACTGATCGGTCTTTAGTTCAAGTCCCGGTCAGGGTAACTCGCCCTTCTTCCTACCGAGATTGATAAATGAGTACCTGTCTGTGGGAAGAAAACGCTATGCTTGCCACATGGCTGTTGACTCTGCCTTAAAGCAATAACAAACTCTTGGCTAATGGCACAGAAATTGAGATTAGCACCGCACAATCAACTTCATGAAAAGAAAGGTGCCAAAATGGCCTAATCATGAAAGTGAAGGAAGACGGACATTCCAACGTTGACTAACTTTCCTTTCCTTTCGATCGATTTAGAATATTAATCAAAGGCATCGAGTGCATTTGATAAATTGTCCATATTTGGTCTGAGAAAGGAATATAACTTTCCACAAAATTTTCCTGAAGCTTGCCTGTCAGGTCAGTGCTGTTGTACGGTATGAACAGTTGTCCTAATGAAGGAGAAAACGACGATTGAGCTTCTTACAGCTGCATTAGCATCGGCGCAAAACGAGGGTTATATGGCAAGAGCAGGCAAGAAATAATTCTACTCTCTTCCGGGCACAAGTGACTTCGATAGATGTGGAGATTATGAAAAGGAATTTGACCCTCTTCGGAAACCTGATTAAACACAAACCATTTACTCCAGCTTATTAGCTGCTCATGTGGGAGCTAAAACATAGCATACGTCGACCAGTAGGCCACTCTGCAACATAAAGAAAGAGTGTAGAGGCCGCCCTGCTTCCATGATGCAGCAGTAAGTGCCTTATAACAAAAAAGTTATAAAGCTGCGGATAAAACGAATATCACAAAGGAGATGCGTTCTGTTTATGCAAACGGCACAAAGCGATGATCTCAATAACACGTTCGCTGTAAGGTTGCTGTAATCCATGCTCTGAATTTAACTGCGCTGACGCATAATTTAGTTCGTATTAAACTATTTAATACATGGACATTATTTGACCAAATTCAACAAAATATTAAGAACTTTACTTTAAAACGAGTATCTCAATCTCCTGGAATTTTTTCTGAAACACACTGTTGCAAAACTGTTCTTAGATTTGCTGTTCTTGTTCACAGTAGGGACATCAGGCTTAACCAGATTAGTTGTCTAATCCAGGATTGTAGATTTATGTTACGTGATTTGCAGATCTATGATTTTACATAAGTTGTTTATAATACTGGCTGCTGCAGCAAACGCAATATTATTCATTTCCTCATTGAGCTGAAGGCAAAAAATTTGCACCGCATGAATTTCGATACGACCCTGCGCTATAGTCAAATTACAAGGCAACGGTTCATCTAATCGTTGTCAAGTGGAAGAAGGATGAAGTCTGCGTTCAAAAGAAGCATTATGAAGCCAGCGTTAACGAAAACGCAGTTAAAATATGATCCGTGACTCCTCTCGTATGATTTCCTAACCGATCAGTCGCGGCCTGAAAAAGTGGGAGAAACTACGACACAAAGCCAATACTTGAGCGAGCCACTGTGGCTGCAACGCAGACGGATGTTGAGACCATCTCACTGTGACGTTGCCCAGTAGCGATCACCATGATTAATCTTGAAGTATGAAAGTTTACTGCTTGAATGCAATCATAGAGGAACTCCATTTTTCAGCATATAAAAAATGTACGATTATCACAGTTAATATTTGCACACAGAGAATAAATAGCAGTACTAGTTTACATTCATTCAGGTAAGATTTCCATTTCTGACACTCTCCTGGAAATCTGTGGAAAACGTTTCGTAGGGGTTTAACTGAGTATTCAGAGAGCTCTGCGAGAAAAGTGCAACCTGCAAATCACCTGCTGATGAACAGGGTATCACACATTTCACGACAAAGAAAAGCATAATAAACTAACCCAAATGTAACCAAGGAACGATACACAAACGTACAAGAAATTACTTTATGCTAAACTGCCAGATCGGGGCGTCCAAAGTGCAAAGTATGCCAGAGCGATTACCAGAAGAAACGGAGAACCGATTACTTTACCTACTTGCCTACTAATTGAGTGCTTGATCCATCACTGTCTAAGGGCCTCTGCATGGGCGGCAGGCATACGGTATTACTGTATCGCCACAGGCATAAAAATGACGTCATAGTTGCTACCGTTTTTTCGAGAAAAAAGTTACATGACTCACCTCATCCCCTTTTCGAAACGCCATTACCATGCCGTTCTTGCCAGCAGTCGAAATGCTCCTAACAATCTATTATTATGGCAGAACAGGAGCTTACAGTGTTATCGCATATGGTTACTGTATTAGGAATTCGAATAGCTAATGATCTGACCTGTCAGAATGCTTGCGTGCATCTGGAAAATAAGCGTGAGCAACTTATATACGCTATAAACATTTTTGTATACGGGTAGCTTGTGTCACTGCGAACAGCTGCTTTAAACATAGCCAATCGCTCGCCAGTACAGCAGTTGAATGATTAGTTTTTTTGGTTGATGAAAGACGTCTTATGACAGTGATGGCTACATTGATGACCAAAAAATAATGTTCGTCGATTCATAAGTGTGGGTGGGAGAGGTGCTTTATGGAACAAAGAGGTCGAAAAGTTAATTTCTTGACACAGTCGCAATGTTTACTTTCAAGTAACATCGAAATAGCGCGATGCATCGTTTATCAAACTGTGCGTCATTTGCAAATATGGCCCACCATCATGCAAGCATCGTAAGGACTTTACCCAAGTCGTAAATTCGAACCTTCCGACCACATCGTTTGCAACAGCGCATACATTTTCAATGTTTTCTACATGTATTCTCACGGTGTGTTCAAATTTTACAATCATCTGTCGCCGCATTATGTAAGAGCAAACTGGGATCACAAACAAGAAAAGAACTGGTCGGCAGATGGACGAACTGCTGACCGGTGTAGTAAAGCCGTACAGCGTCAACAACCAACTTAATGAAGCGTCACCGATCATTATACAGACAGACGCCCATTGCCGTTGCTCGCTGTTCAACAAGCGATATTTGCTTTCTTCATC